TGAGGATAATAGTGGACGAAATTGCCACTTCTATTTGCAATATTTTCAATTTAAGCCTAGTAGAATGTGTGTGCCCCCAGGCGTGGAGGGAAGCAAAAGTCATTCCGCTACCTAAAAATAGTAAAGCCCCCTTTACTGGCTCAAATAGCCGACCAATTAGCCTGTTACCAACCCTTAGTAAACTATTGTAAAAATTGTGTTTGACCAGATACAATGCTATTTTACAGTAAACAAATTGACAAACTTTCAGCATGCTTATAGAGAAGGACATTCAACAAGCACAGCACTTACATCAGTAACCCGACGATGATTGGCTGAGAGAAATTGATGATAAAAAGATTGTGGGGGCTGTTTTGTTAGACTTCAGTGCGGCTTTTGACATTATCGATCATAGTCTGCTGTTGGAAAAACTTGTGTGTAATGGCTTTACTCCACCTGCTATATTGTGGATACAGAGTTACCTGTCTAACAGAACACAGAGGGTGTTCTTTAATGGAAGCCTCTCCAACATAATCCAGGTAGAATCAGGAATTCCCCAGGGCACCTGTCTAGGCCCATTTACTTTTTTCAATCTTTACTAATGACATGCCACTGGCTTTGAGTAAAGCCAGAGTGTCTATGTATGCGGATGACTCAACACTATACATGTCAGCTACTACAGCGACTGAAATGACTGCAACACTTAACAAAGAGTTGCAGTTAGTTTCAGAGTGGGTGGCAAGGAATAAGTTAGTCCTAAATATTTCAAAAACTAAAAGCAAATGATTCACTAAACCCTAAACCTCAACTAAATCTTGTAATAAATAATGTGGAAATTGAGCAAGTTGAGGTGACTAAACTGATTGGAGTAACCCTTGATTGTAAACTGTCATGGTCAAAACATATTGATACAACAGTAGCTAAGATGGGGAGAAGTATGTCCAAAATAAAGTGCTGCTCTACGTTCTTAACAGCACTATCAACAAGGCAGGTCCTACAGGCCCTAGCTTTGTCACACCTGGACTATTGTTGTGTGGTCAAAAACAGATTAAAAAAACACCTTATGGAACATGGGGACTGTGAAGCAACACAAACATATGCGCAGACACATGCATACACACACACGATAACATACGCACTATACACACACGTACACATGTATTTTTGTACTGTAGATATGTGGTAGTGGTGGAGTAGGGCCCTGAGGGCACACCGTGTGTTGTGAAATCTGTGTATGTATTGTAATGTTTTTTAAATTGTATGAACTGCCTTAATTTTGCTGGATCCATAATAAATACAAATGCAAACCAATCATGTCAGTGCGGAGCTATACAGAGCTCTCCGCATTGTTACAAAATTTGTGAGGTGCATGGCGATGCGGTACGGAGCTTGATTTGGCCTCTGCATGCCTTTGGAGGCTCCGCAATTGCATCACACCGTCCATATGGAGCCGCCGACCACATTTTCGGATCAAGCATAAATTGGCTTTTAGTCTAGGCCTCCGCAATGGATTAGTTCACTGAGATGGGCGCAAATATATATATGCAGTGCCTTCGGAAAGTATTTACACCCCTTGACTTCTTCCACATTTTGTTACGTTACAGCCTTATTCTAAAATGGATTAAATAAATAAAAATCCTCAACAGTCTACACACAATACCGCCAGGACAGCGGAGTCACTGTCCACCTTCCGGAGACACTTGAAACCCTACCTCTTTAAGGAATACCTGGAATAGTATAATAGTAATCCTTCTACCCCCCCCCCCCCCCCCCCTTTACTACCACTGTCTTTTGTCTAAACTAACACCCGACTTATGTCACCTGCTAGCACTGACTTGTTTAAAGAAATGTACTTATTGTGATCGAGATGTAGTTGTCCCTGATTGCACTGACTTTGCTCACAGCTGCTTGTTTGAAGAAGTGTACTTACTGTGATCAAGATGTGGTTGTCCCACTGGCTATCCTAAGTTGAATGCACCAATTTGTAAGTCGCTCTGGATAAGAGCGTCTGCCAAATGACTTAAATGTAAATGTAATACCCCATAATGACAAAGCGAAAACAGGTTTTTAGACATTTTTGCAAATGTATTACAAAAAATATATATAAATACCAGATTTACGTAAGTAATCAGACCCTTTGCTATGAGATTCGAAATTGAGCTCAGGTGCATCCTGTTTCCATTGATCATCCTTGAGATGTTTTTACAACTTGATTGAAGTCCACCTGTGGTAAATTCAATTGGTTGGACATGATTTGGAAAGGCACACACCTGTCTATATAAGGTCCCACAGTTGACAGTGCATGTCAGAGCAAAAACCAAGCCATGAGGTCAAAGGAATTGTCCATAGAGCTCCGAGACAGCATTGTGTTGAGGCACAGATCTGGGGAAGGGTACCAAAAAATGTCTGCAGCATTGAAGGTCCCCAAGAACACAGTGGCCTCCATCATTCTTAAATGGAAGAAGTTTGGAACTAGCAAGACTCTTCCTAGAGCTGGCCGCCCGGCCAAACTGAGCAATCGAGGGAGGTGACCAAGTACCCAATGGTCACTCTGACAGAGCTCTAGAGTTCCTCTGTGGAGATGGGAAAACCTTCCAGAAGGACAACCATCTCTGCAGCACTCCACCAATCAGGCCTTTATGGTAGAGTGGCCAGACTGGAGCCACTCCTCAGTAAAAGGCACATAACAGCCCGCTTGGAGTTTGCCAAAAGGCACCTAAAGGACTCTCAGACCATGAGAAACAAGATTCTCTGGTCTGATGAAACCAAGATTGAACTCTTTGGCCTGAATGCCAAGTGTCACGTCTGGAGGAAACCTGGCACCATCCCTACGGTGAAGCATGGTGGTGGAAGCATCATGCTGTGGGGATGTTTTTCAGCGGCACGGACTGGGAGACTAGTCAGGATCGAGGCAAAGCTAAATGGAGCAAAGTACAGAGAGATCCTTGATGAAAACCTGCTCCAGAGCGCTCAGGTCCTCAGACTGGGGCAAAGGTTCACCTTCCAACAGGACAACGACCCTAAGCACACAGCCATGACAACGCATGAGTGGCTTCGGGACAAGTCTCTAAATGTCCTTGAGTGGCCCAGCCAGAGCCTGGACTTGAACGAACATCTCTGGAGAGACCTGAAAATAGCTGTGCAGCAACGCTCCCAATCCAACCTGACAGAGCTTGAGAGGATCTGCAGAGAAGAATGGGAGAAACTCCCCAAATACAGGTGTGCCAAGCTTGTAGTGTCATAACCAAGAAGACTCTGGGCTGTAATCGCTGCCAAAGGTGCTTCAACAAAGTATTGTGTAAAGGGTCTGAATACTTATGTAAATGTGATATTTCATTTTTGTATTATTAATACATTTGGAAAAATGTCTAAAAACCGTTTTTTTGCGTTGTCATTCTGGGGTATTGTGTGTAGATTGATGAGGGAAAAAAACGATTTAATCCATTTGAGAATAAGGCTGTAACGTGACAAAAATGTGGAAAGTCAAGGGGTCTGAATACTTCCGAATGCGCTATGTGTGTGTGTGTGATATATATATATATATATATACACACACACACACACACACACACACACACACACAGTACCAGTCAAAAGTTTGGACACAGCTACTCATGTAAAGGTTTTTCTTTATTTTTACTATTTTTTACATTGTAGAATAATAGTAAAGATATCAAAACTATGAAATAACACTTATGGAATCATGTAGTAACCAAAAAAGTGTTAAACAAATCAAAATATATTTTCAATTTGAGATTCTTCAAATTGCCACCCTTTGCATTGATGACAGCTTTGCACACTCTTGGCATTCTCTCAACCAGCTTCACCTAGAATGCTTTTCCAACAGTCTTGAAAGAGTTCCCACATATGCTGAGCACTTGTTGGCTGCTTTTCCTTCACTCTGCCGTACGACTCATCCCAAAACATCTCCATTGGGTTGAGGTCGGGGGATTGTGGAGGCCAGGTCATCTGATACAGCACTCCATCACTCTCCTTGGTAAAATAGCCCTTACACAGCCTGGAGGTGTGTTGGGTCATTGTCCTGTTGAAAAACGAATAATAGTCCCACTAATCCCAAACCAGATGGGATGGCGTATCGCTGCAGAATGCTGTGATAGCCGTGCTGGTTAAGTGTGCCTTGAATTCTAAATACATCACAGACAGTGTCTCCAGCAAAGCACCCCCACACCATAACACCACCTCCTCCATGCTTTACGGTGGGAACTACACATGCGGAGATCATCCGTTCACCCACACCCGTCTCACAAAGACACAGCGGTTGAAACCAAAAATCTAAAATTTGGACTCCAGACCAAAGGACACATTTCCACCGGTCTAATGTCCATTGCTCGTGTTTCCTGGCCCAAGCAGGTCTCTTCTTCTTATTGGTGTCCTTTAGTAGGTTTCTTTACAGCAATTTGACCATGAAGGCCTGATTCACACAGTTCCCTCTGAATAGTAGATGTTGAGATGTGTCTGTTACTTGAACTCTGAAGCATTTATTTGGGCAGCAGTTTCTGAGGCTGGTAACTCTAATGAACTTATCCTCTGCAGCAGAGGTAACTCTGGGTCTTCCATTCCTGTGGCGGTCCTCATGAGAGCCAGTTTCATCATAGCGCTTGATGGTTTTTGCGACTGCACTTGAATAAATTGTCAAAGTTCTTAACATTTTCCGGATTGACTGACCTTCATGTCTTAAAGTAATGGACTGTCGTTTCTCTTTGCTTATTTGAGCTGTTATTGACATAATATGGACTTGGTCTGTTACCAAATAGAGTTATCTTCTGTATACCGCCCCTACCTTGTCACAACACAACTGATTGGCTCAAACGCATTAAGAAGGATATAAATTCCACAAATTAACTTTTTAAGAAGGCACACCTGTTAATTGAAATGCATTCCAGGTGACTACATCATGAAGCTGATTGAGAGAATGCCAAGAGTGTGCAAAGCTGTATTCTAACATCATATTTCTTCGTCCCTGATCCACCAGGAATCTGGCCATCTTGGGAGCAGGTCTGATGGGTGCAGGTATTGCCCAGGTGACTGTGGACAAGGGCATTCACACCGTCCTGAAAGACACCACCGTGGAGGGCCTGAGCAGGGGCCAGCAGCAGGTCTACAAAGGGTGGGTTTACCAGAGAGCAATAGCACACTGCTAACTAGCTATCGATGCTACATCGGCTACACAATGTTCTGGTTGTCTGGCATATGGGATCACAGAGGGGAGGGATGCGGTTAAAACTCCTAGGAATGGTTTCCTACAGATTAAGCCTGGTCTTGGATTTAGAAGCATTTTTATTGGAAATTCTATATTTTTTGTACCGGACTAGGCTTAATCTGTGTCTGGGGAACCGGCCATAGTTCACCCAAATTACAAAATGACATATTGGTTTCATTACTCTGTATGCAGTCTATGGACAAGGTATGACAGCAATCCATGCTTTGGTTTAGTTTCCCTGGCACTGTTTCCACATGCTTACGTTTTAGTATTTGTGGCACAAATCCCATTCAAGTCATGGGACCGATATTAGCATTTTTCGCGCATAATGTTAAAATCATTTGTGACTTTGTTGAGCATCACAATACATTTTAGATACTTTTGGATGATTTGGACATGATGCGTGAAATGCTAATATCCTTCTCATGACTTGAATGGGATTTGTGCCACAAATGCTAAAAGGTTAGCATGTGGAAACAGTGCTATGGAAACTAAACTAAAGCATGAATTGCTGCCATACCTTGTCCATAGACTGCTTACAGGGTAATGAAACCAATATGTCATTTGGGTGAACTATTACATTACTTACAGGAGCAATTAGCCATCCTGGGAAAATCGACAGATTTTTCACGTAGTCGGTTACTGGACCAACGCTCTTAACTGCTAGGCTACCTGCCGCCCGGTTCCCTATCCCTTTAAAGCATAGTTGGAGTTGTTGGTGAAGGAACTAAATGAATGTTGTTGAACCTGCCCTAATCTCTCTTGACAGACTGTTAACATAAATGTAAATCCAGTAACTGACGCACACAAGATTTGGTTCTGGGTACCGATATTAAACCTGCCCTCACTTTCCTCACCAGCCTCAATGACAAAACCAAAAAGAAAGCCATCACGTCATTTGAGAGGGACTTCACACTGGCCAGCTTAACTGGCCAGTTGGACTACAGCGGCTTTGAGAAGGCTGACATGGTCATAGAAGCTGTGTTTGAGGATATCAACATCAAACACAGAGTCATCAAGGAGGTTGAAGCTGTAAGTAGCGCTGAATGTTAAAATCAGGGCTGTGTTCATTAGGGCATGCAACGGAAAGAGTTTTCTAACACAACATAAATAAGCATTTCTTATTGGACAAGATGTTTGTTTTAAATTTAACTTTTGTGTTTCATCGCAGGTGATCCCCCCTCACTGTATATTTGCCACCAACACATCTGCTCTCCCCATCAAAGATATTGCTGCTGCTAGCATGAGGCCAGAAAAGGTATGTTTACTAAGAGTTCAATAGGGAGCAGACGTCTAGAATTACCTCTCTACATGTTTTTTGTGGTTGGGGCTGGGTACTGTGACAGCAAAACATTCTTTGTAAGTAAGCAAGTCTTGGACAACTATGCCTTGTCTGAGCCAGAATGGTTCAGAGGGACAGGAGCCTCTGTACCGTGAGCAGGGCTCAAAATTATTTTAAAAAATCATAGCACTGGTGGTCCCAACTTTAAAAAGTTAGGAGCACCACATGAAATTTAGGACACCAGATGTATTTTTATAATTGATTGAGAAACTGCCTATATGGATTCTAGCTACTTTTGAAGCACATGTTGTGCCCTAGAAACTAATTTGTAGTACTGTAAATACATTTGTTTATTATAAAAGCTCAAATGTTGTTACGAATACCTATCATTGAAATTACAATGTCATTTGTGGAGTATTAGGTTTCTAGATTGTGTAAAAGCACTATTTTCCTATTAAGATGCATTACATTGAAAATTGTACACCGTCTCTTTGAAAACATCAGGAGATATGTCATTCATTCATTGCTATGATCATTGATCTCCTGAAGAAGCTATCTCTTTTCCTTTCTTTCTGTGCCCCCAAATGTTTGGATATACTGGTAAAGTTACCAGGTAGTTAGCTAGCTAGCCAACGAGGTAACATGACTGAACAAAGTGTAAACAATCGTTAACGACGTTGAGTTTTAGAACTGCCCACGACATGGTTTATGAGTGTAAAATGCAGTATAGGAAAATAAAAATGTTCCACTGGTAATATGGGTCACATCTTTGACCTGGTTAAACTAAAAGCAAGCCGTTTTTGCAGTAGTAATGGTGCAACCATGACGCTAATGAATCTGCACTCACTTGTTTCTGTAGGGTACTCTGAAACAACGGTACAGTGAAGCCTTATCATTACAATCATTGTTATCTGGGAGATTTTTTTCATAGTCGCACAGTGCTCCCAAAATAAAACTCCTGGTCGCACAGCAAAATATTTTGTTGCACTTTAGAGCCCTGACCGTGAGGCAGCTTGATGTACAAGTAAATCCCCTGGACAGGATGCTAGTCTGTCACAGGGCTTTACCCCTAATCCATCTTCTTGGTTGAGTGCTTTGGTATGACTCGACCGGGGCAATCCCAATCTCAGTGCGGACACACAAGGCCACTGAGTTGGTTATTTTGTATAAATGGATACAGTTAAATAAAGTTGTATTGTATTCTCTATTCCTGTAGGTGATTGGCATGCACTACTTCTCTCCAGTGGACAAGATGCAGCTGTTGGAAATCATCACTACAGATAAGACCTCTAAAGACACCACCGCCTCTGCTGTAGCTGTAGGCCTGAAGCAGGGGAAAGTCATCATCGTTGTCGGGGTGAGTGAGCTTCTGCTTAGTGCTTACTTTCTGTATTCTTCCTAAGCGTGTTGATAAGCATAATGATGCTAATACATGGATTTTATATATAAAGTGCTTTTCATGGGCCCATAATAATTTGTGTTCTTTGTTGTTTGCAGGATGGACCTGGGTTCTACACCACCAGGTGTCTTGCTCCTATGTTAGCTGAGGCAGTGAGAGTACTACAGGTTAGTGTTATTACACACACACAAACTGGACGTGTCCGAATGCCCATACTAGTGTACAACATACTTCACCTGCATACTATGTATTCTTCATCGCATACTATTTAGCACGTACCGTTTAGTAAAAAGTATGCAGTATGCCACAACCCAGTAGCGGCTCCTTACTGGCTGAGTAGGTGGGGCGGGGTCCGAGTGCAGGTGGATTTTTCCAAATTCAACAGGCATGCATCGCATTAACCAGCTAATTTCCAATTCGATACATTTCTCTAAACTCTGAATAGAATAGCAATGGAGTTATACGCCTTCTCAGGCTGGTTATAGGCAGACTATCACATTCGACCTATACCATAGCCCATCTATCCTATTTTAAAAAGGACTGAAGACAGAAACGGAACATTTGGTTTCATTTCAACATATTTATTAGTGAAACCAAAGTGCTTTAACATATATACATTAAGTCAAATAGCCTAGTACACACACAAAAACGTTTCAAATGTTCAAATCAAAAGGCGATTACACAGAAAAGCGTGGACATTCGGGTACAATTTCAGAACCGCTGGACAGCAACATAATAAACTAAAGCACTGATCATTGGGAACGAGATCAGAATGACTACTAAGGCTTGCTCCATAAATTTAATAATTAAATGGGTAGCCTCGCAAAAGGCCTGATTAACATGACATCAATAACGCAGCCATATACCGAGTCCCCGGTGCCGACACATTCAGAAATCAAAAGATGGTTTAGGATTTACTTTAAAAGCTCTGAGGAAGGCCAAGAGAACAAACACTTTTCAATGAGAAAACAGAAATCCCGTTTGGTAAAAAAAATACTTCGGTTTTCAAAGATGTAGCCTGTGATGGAAGGAGCACAAAAACGACTTAGCCTTCATTTGAACACCACCGCAGAAGCTTCGCTATTTGGCATCTTCCCATTTAAGTAGCCTAGTTTTGTTGTTTGGCTACTTGAAGAGAACTAGGCCCTATCACTCGAAGCCCACCTCTTCCAATGCATTGTGGAAAAGTGTGTATCGAATTCTACTAGATGGAAAGCTGAAATTAGTATAATATCTTGGCATTTAAACCGTACTTGATCTTTGAAAATTCACATACTATAAAATGTTCAATTTTTCGCATACTGACAATTTGTCATGCGCTATTGCGTTGTTTTGCATTATTGGTTAATTTCGGTAGCCGTATGACATCCGATCCGGGCATTTAAAGTATACTTGAGTTTCAAAATGTCACATACTATAAAACATTTAAAAATTTCAAACTGCCTATTACACAAATACTCAAACTGCCTATTATTTAAGACGCAAGTATGAGTATTCAGAAACGGCCACTGCGTTGGGATGGTGTGGGTATTGCATACGTCCAATAATATTTTATATTTACCTTTATGTCTGTGCTGTGTGTGTTCTCAGGAGGGAGTAGACCCCAAGAAGCTGGATGCCCTGACCACAGGCTTTGGGTTCCCAGTGGGTGCTGCTACACTGGCTGACGAGGTGGGTATTGACGTGGCTGCCCATGTAGCTGAAGACCTGGGCAAAGCATTCGGCTCGAGGTTCGGAGGTGGAAACATTGAGGTGCTGAAGACTATGGTGGAGAGAGGATTCAAGGGTAAATTCTTGTTTGCAGGACTTTGAGACGAAGACTCTTTCTTAATCAATATTTCCTCGATCCCTTGCATCCTCTCACCTTGCCTTTTTCTCAAAATGCATTGGGAGGGACTTTAAATATTGTCCTCCATTGAGGTTTGAGAAGGAGTCAAGGAGAGAGTGGACGCGAGGAATCTAGGGAAAATTGTGGGAGCCAAATGCTATATTGGTAATGCATGGTCATCATTGGTATATCTGATACCCAATTTATTTAATCAACAGGCCGCAAATCAGGAAAGGGATGCTACGTCTATACGCCAGGACTTAAAAGCAAAGATGTCAACCCCGATATTGAAGACCTCTTGGAGAAATACAAATTGACACCAAACCCTTTAGTGTAAGTAGTAACCACTGGGGAATTGTCTTCTCTAAAGCAACTTAAAGTACATTGAATGCATAAAAACTAAAAATCTGCATTTGTTACCAACTGAGCCATATAGGATCATACACTCACCACACCACCACTTAACCCTGTCTGTATCTTCTCCCTCCAGGTCTTCAGACTCTGATGTCCAGTACCGTCTGGTCTCTCGGTTCGTCAACGAAGCAGTTATGTGTCTGCAGGAGGGGATCCTGAACGGCCCTGTGGAGGGAGACATAGGAGCTGTGTTTGGTCTGGGATTCCCCCCCTGCCTTGGAGGTGAGTGTTCATTCCATACCAGGGGTATTCATATACAGTTGAAGTCGGAAGTTTACATACACTTAGGTTGGAGTCATTAAAACTCGTTTTTCAACCACGCCAAAACTATCATTTGTTATAAAGAAATTTGTGGAAAGTCGGTTAGGACGTCTACTTTGTGCATGACACAAGTAATTTGTCCAACAATTCTTTACAGACAGATTATTTCACTTATAATTCACTGTATCACAATTCCAGTGGGTCAGAAGTTTACATACACTAAGTTGACGGTGCCTTTAAACAGCTTGGAAAATTACAGAAAAGGATGTCATGGCTTTAGAAGCTTCTGATAGGCTAATTGACATAATTTGAGTAAATTGGAGGTGTACCTGTGGATATATTTCAAGGCCTACCTTCAAACTCAGTGCCTCTTTGCTTGACATCATGGGAAAATGAAAAGAAATCAGCCAAGACCTCAGGAAAAAATGTGTAGACCTCCACAAGTCTGGTTCATCCTTGGGAGCAATTTCCAAACGCCTGAAGGTACCACGTTCATCTGTACAAACAATAGTACGCAAGTATAAACACCATGGGACCACGCAGCCGTCATATTGCTCAGGAAGGAGACGCGTTCTGTCTCCTAGAGATGAATGTACTTTGGTGCGAAAAGTGCAAATCATTCCCAGAACAACAGCAAAGGACCTTGTGAAGATGCTGGAGGAAACAGGTACAAAAGTATCTATATCCACAGTAAAACAAGTCCTATATTGACATAACCTGAAAGGCCGCTCAGCAAGGAAGAAGCCACTGCTCCAAAACCGCCATAAAAAAGCCAGACTACGGTTTGCAACTGCACATGGGGACAAAGATCGTACTTTTTGGAGAAATGTCCTCTGGTCTGATGAAACAAAAATAGAACTGTTTGGCCATAATGACCATCGTTATGTTTGGAGGAAAAAGGTGGCAGGCTTGCAAGCTGAAGAACACCATCCCAACCGTGAAGCACAGGGGTGGCAGCATCATGCTATGGGGGTGCTTTGCTGCAGGAGGGACTGGTGCACTTCACAAAATAGATGGCATCATGAGGAAGGAAACTTATGTGGATATATTGAAGCAACATCTCAAGGAAGTTAAAGCTTGGTCGCAAATGGGTCTTCCAAATGGACAATGACCCCAAGCATACTTCCAAAGTTGTGGCAAAATGGCTTAAGGACAACAAAGTCAAGGTATTGGAGTGGCCATCACAAAGCCCTGACCTCAATCCTATAGAAAATGTGTGGGCAGAACTGAAAAGGTGTGTGCGAGCAAGAAGTCCTACAAACCTGACCTTACACCAGCTCTGTCAGGAGGAATGGGCCAAAATTCACCCAACTTATTGTGAGAAGCTTGTGGAAGGCTACCCAAAACGTTTGACCCAAGTTAAACAATTTAAAGGCAATGCTACCAAATACTAATTGAGTGTATGTAAACTTCTGACCCACTGATTTAAATAAATAAAAGCTGAAATAAATAATTCTCTCTACTATTATTCTGACATTTCACATTCTTAAAATAAAGTGCTGATCCTGACTGACCTAAGACAGGGAATTCTTACTAGGATTAAATGTCAGGAATTGTGAAAAACTGAGTTTAAATGTATTTGGCTGAGGTGTATGTAAACTTCCGACTTCAACTGTATAAGCCTGGAGGTCCGGAGAGAGTACTACTGGTTTTCTGTTCTATATAATTAATTCTGATAAATTAACTGCGCCCACCTGGTGTCCCAGGTCTAAATCAGTCCCTGACTAAAAGGACAATAATGAAAATCAGCAGTGGAACTGGACTCGAGGTCTAGATTTGAATATTCCTGCTTTATACTATGCTATATGGCACTTACAGTACAGTGTGGGTGTACATGTTTAGGATGTGTATCTAATCCCTGTGGGAATTGAACCCATGACCTAGCACCATGCTTTTACCAGCTGAGCCACACACACAGGATGATCACTTGACATGCGCATAAACAGCTCTAGTGTTGTATGTGGTGTTGAACTCTTTTCAGCTTTAATAGTAGGCAGAGAGCCTTTTGTTGTGCTACAATTAGGAATGTTATTTTACCTTCTCTTTGACCTTCCCTGTTTAGTCCTTTCCGGTTTATGGAGCCGGACTTGACTGAAAATAATTTGACTATCCAATTTTTGTATTACAGACTGAGCTATCAGATATGCCTATATTATAATATTATGCTTTCATCATGGGATGGCCTTTTGAAAAGTGTAATCCTACAAACATCGTTTTAACCTTCTCTTTAAACCTTCTCTGTTCAGGTCCTTTCCGGTTTGTGGATACCTTTGGTGCCAACAAGCTAGTGGAGAAGATGAAGAGGTATGAGGAGGTTTACGGCAACCACTTCACCCCGTGTCAGCTACTGCTGGATCACGCCAAGGACTCCAGCAGGAGATTCCACAAGTGACTTTCCCCACCACCATGTCCTACTACCACCTAATAGCAGGCTGCCATTAGAATGTGCATAGGCCATATATTTGTCTGTTAAAGAAATAAGCACTGAGTTTAAAGAGATGGTTCGGGATTTTGACAATGAAACCCTTTATCTACTTCCCCAGAGTCAGATTAACTCGTGAATACCATATGCTAACTAGTTTAGCGCAAAGACTGAAAGTAAGCTAGTGCTAACGCTAGTTAGCATTGGCTCGCGAAACTACCTCTAACTTCCTTCATACTGGATGCAGAGACATAAAAAGGCTATCCATGAGTTCATCTGACTCTGGGGACATTGATAAAGGGCTTCATTGCCAAAATTCAGAACTATCCCTTTAAGTTAAAGTTTGGATTGCAGAAGAGAAATCATGAAAGTGGTCAGTTTTTACAAATCACCAAACAAAATAAATGTTTTCAAGTTGTCATCAGAGATTTCAGAATTCATGACTAACAGAAATAGATTTTTTATTGTTTGGTTTGTTTTTGTATTTTGGGAACATTATTTGACGGTTTACTTTTTGATAGTATTCTACTGTAATATCCATCTGAGGCAGGTGTAGACTCAAGGGGCAATCTTAGTCTTCCCACAATGCAAATGTAAATTAAATCCATGGTTACATCCCAAATGGCACCATATTCCCTATATAGTGCACAACTTTTGTTCAGAGCCCTATGGGGCCCTGGTCTAGGAGTGCACTATAAAGGGAATAGTGTTCCATTTCAGCCTTAATACGTGACTGGTGTAATCCTACTCCTCTTGGCTTGTTCATGTTTTATTGATTGTCATCTACTAATGAGGTAAACATATGTTTTAAAAAAACATTTTATCACGTTGGTCTTTATTCCATGGTTTGGGCAGTGATTGTATAAATATTTAGAGACAGTAAGTTAATAAATAATTATGTTAAAGTCAAATGTGTAGGCCTATGTATATTCTTTGTTTTTCAATTAATGAAAATCTAATTGGGCTAATCGGGTAATTTGTTTATTAGGGGTATTTGATCACATTTATTAAAGAATTGCAGTAGGCTACACCTAGTTACAAGATTTTGTTTTAAAGCGGCAATCAGCAGTAGAAACAATAACGTGATCCCCGCCCCTGTTTCTGTAAAAAGCTGAGGGATGGGGCTGGAGTAATGTCACAACTCTCCAATTCACAGGCAGAGCTATGATGCAAGGACTGGCCATCCATTAAATTATAGCTTTAACCATGTTTTGAGGCTATATTGTGTTTGTTTACATTTACTTGGTTTACAGACATTGGAGTAAAACAAGTTTGTTTTGTGTTCAGATGGTAGGACATTTGAACTAAACTCATGAGGAATTTATAAGTTATATAAGAATCAATGGGTACATTCCAGTTTAAGTCCAAAAATTTATTGTAGCAAGTGCTGATTGCCCCTTTAATCCAATTCGTTGTGTGAGTCACATGTCTTGTTCCTATTGTCTGCAGCAGAGGTAAGGGTGTGTACGGGGGACTGGGGACGTATACAGGGTTGGGCTGGCCTACGGTGGTATTTTTTAGCGGTGGTGGCGCAGCATCCTTTGTACCATGAAGCCTTGGTGCGCTGCATGTGGATTGATGAGAAGGGTGGAGGCAGTTATCGTTGTCAGGATCAAGGAGGATATTCATCAGATTTTGAGAACGTACATGTAGGCTACGCAGGGTATGTCCGTGTTATTAAGTGTGTCCGAGTACAGAATGTTACCATTTTCTGCGAATGAAATGAATTGGCTTACCACCTGGGTACCGCTCGGCGGAGGATGCTGCGGTGTAAGACGTGAGTCATCTCCTTGATGCGTGATTAGCGACGTATACGGTGGGAGTGTTGCGGAGAAATCAATTTTCATTTTTACCGTCAAGGATCGAAGGAATAAATATGTCGAGACAGTGCGAGGCTGTGAAGGTGGTGGTGCGATGCCGCCCATTCAACAGGAGAGAGGAGACGATGGAGAACGATAACATCTTGGAGGTGAATACAAAACTGGGGCAGATCACATTGAGAAACCCAAGGGCGTCACCTGAAGAACTCATGAAATCATTCACCTTTGATGCGGTTTATGACTTTGAGTCGAAACAGAGCGATATTTATCATGACACGGTCAGACCCCTTGTAGACTCCGTGTTACAAGGTTTCAACGGGACCATATTAGCTTATGGGCAAACTGGGACAGGTAAAACATACACCATGCTAGGTATGCCCACAGACAATGAGAGAGGGATCATCCCAAATTCATTTAACCAAATTTTTACACAGATCTCCAGGTCTCAGAATCAGCAATATTTAGTGAGGGCATCCTATCTAGAGATCTATCAGGAGGAGGTCCGGGATCTGTTATGTAAGGACAACAACAAGAAACTAGACCTCAAAGAAAACCCAGATTCAGGTGTCTATGTCAAAGACCTGTCTTCGGTTGTCAGCAAGAATGTCATGGAGATCGAACATGTCATGAACATAGGAGACCAGTCCAGGTCTGTGGGTTTCACCAATATGAATGAACGCAGCTCGCGGTCCCATGCCATCTTCATGATCACGGTGGAGTGCAGTGAGAAAGGTGCAGATGGAGAGGACCACATACGGGTTGGGAAGCTGAACATGGTTGACCTGGCTGGCAGCGAACGCCAGAGCAAGACAGGTGCTAATGGGGAACGCCTGAAAGAGGCCACTAAAATCAACCTGTCCCTCTCAGCACTGGGTAATGTCATCTCTGCTCTGGTTGATGGGAAGAGCACACACATCCCTTACAGGGACTCTAAACTTACCCGCCTGCTCCAGGATTCACTAGGTGGCAATGCGAAGACGGTCATGGTAGCCACTCTGGGACCAGCGTCCAAGAACTATGAAGAGTCCCTAACGACCCTAAGGTATGCTAACAGGGCTAAAAATATCAAGAACAAACCCAAGATCAATGAGGATCCAAAGGATGCTCTGCTGAGAGAGTTTCAGGAGGAGATCACCCGCCTGAAGGCCCAACTGGAGGAGCGAGGGATGCTGGCAAAGGAGAGGAGAAGGAGGAGGAATAGCAGAAGACTGACTAAAAGTATGATTGTTGAGGATGTAGCCCACAGAGAAAGTGATGCGGAACTGTGGAAGGCTCTGGAAGCGGAATGGGAGCGGAATGCGAAATACTATATAAAGGAAGAACAGGAAAGCAAGATGAAAAAGGAGGAGGAAAGTATTATAGCGATAAGTAGATGCAACTCCATGGATAACTCTGTAGAGGGCAGTCCCCAAAAAGTTGTTACATCCAGAATACCGATACATAGATTTAGCTCTGTGGAGGATAGCCCCAAAAAGGCTCTTCCCACCAGCGACCATAGCAGCCCAGGGGCCAGAGAGAAAAGATTTGGTGAAAAGGAGCAGATGGAAAATGAAAGGATGATGGAAGACATGCAGAAGGAACAGGAATCCATGGAAAAAATTATTGAGAAATATAAGGTGACAATAAATATATTATTATTTACTCTGTTTATGTATATGAGACAATAATGTGCATTTTGATATCATATTTAATATGAGCAATGATTAATTGGTGATGATAGAGCGCATCAGTCTTAACAATAATATATTATCCATATTGCCACGTGTCTCCCTCCAGGCTATGGAGAGCAAAATATTGGCTGGGGGAAAGAACATTATTGACCACACTAACGAGCAACAGAAGATGCTGGAATTGAAGAGGCAGGAGATTGCAGAACAGGTGGGAGATAATTTTTTTACATTTTAGTCATTTAGCAGACGCTCTTATCCAGAGCAACTTACAGTTAGTGAATACATATTTTTTTTTATACTGGCCCCCCGTGGGAATCAAACCCACAACCCTGGCGTTGCAAACGCCATGCTCTATCAACTGAGCTACATCCCTGCCGGCCATTCCCTCCCCTACCCTGGACGACGCTGGGCCAATTGTGCGCCGCCCATGAGTCTCCCGGTCGCGGCCGGCTGCAACAGAGCCTGGATTCGAACCAGGATCTCTAGTGGTACAGTTAGCACTGCGATGCAGTGCCTTAGACCACTGCGCCACTCAGGAGATCATCTATAAACCAATATGCTATGCCTCTAGTATATCAGAAATATTGCTGTGTCTAATGACCATGTTGAAAGTGGTAAGTCTATATAATATAATGTTTCTCAATGTGCATGCAGGTTTATGCATTGTTTCTTTTCTCTGTGTACACATATCTTAGATTTTGGTCAGCATCATGGAGGATGGCTATGATTTTGAAATGTATTTTTAAAAAAGTAATAAAAAAAAGTAATCTCATATTGTTTGAGTGTAGGCTAGGCCTAGCTCTATTGTGTTTGCATGAATGAACCATGACTCCACAAAGGAATTTCTCTGGAATAAAATGTATTTGTATTTAGATAAGACGGGAGAGAGAGATCCAGCAGCAGGTGATGGCTCAGGATGAGGAGACAGGAGAGCTGAGAGAGACCTTCTCCTCCCTGCAGCAGGAGGTGGATCTCAAGACCAAGAAGCTGAAGAGGGTAAATGGATGACTAACCAGTCCTTCCATATCCAGAAAGCCCATCTAGTGTAGGATCATTATTATGACCTCATGTTTAATTTGAAGTGATTTGAGACAGTGTTTTGATCCAAAATCCTATTTCCTAAAGGATGTTAATATTTCATGGTCTTATTTTGGTTCTCCTATTGTGTTTCCTCTCTCGTTGATCCAGTTGTATGCCAAGCTGCAGTTGGTGAAGGCTGAGATTGGGGATGTCATTGATGAGCATGTAGTAACCAGACAGGAGCTTGAGCAGACACAAAATGAACTCACCAGAGAACTCAAGTTCAAGTGAGTATTAATAACATGTAATCATGCAAGCGCACACACGCACTCAACACACACACTACGCCAACTTGGTAAACTTTTCACAATATTTTTTATGTTTTACCTGCAGGTATCTCTTAATTGAGAATTTCATTCCTCCCGAAGAAAAGAACAAAATTATGAACAGGCTTCACTTTGACAGTGAGGAGGACCAGTGGAGGTTTAGGCCCTTTGTAACTTCAGAAAGGTCAGTGAGTTCACCCAGTCAATACTAGTCTATACTACACTCTTAGAAAAAAAGGTGCTATCTAGAACCTAAAAGGGTTATTTGGCTGTCCCCATAGGATAACCCTTTAAAGAACCCTTTTTGGTTCCAGGTAGAACCCTTTTGAGTTCCATGTAGAACCCTCTACACTATTCTCTGCTAATGTTATTGGTACTACATATTATTGACTGGCGCTGAAAGGACAGCTCCGCTAATCGGACAGGTATAAAGATAGCGGTGTCCAGGGCGAACTTTGTGGTGCTGAAAGGACAGCTCCGCAGAACCAGTTACAGAAATGTCACTGATTAGGGTAGGCACACTTAGTCACAATTTGATTATTTCCTTGTTTCACAAGTCTAAAATAAAAGTATAAAAAATGTGTCTACTTTGTCACAATATGATATTATATATACTTTTCTTTTAACTTCTTAAATAACCCCTAAACTAGCCTTTCCTCCCGTACACATCTTATTGCAGTAAATCGGCTCATCAGGTGAAACGAAGGCCCACTTCTGTGGTGGGATACAAGAGACCTATCAGCCAATATGCACAGATGGCTGTCACAACAGGAGCTCCATCTAGATACCGGGTGGGTTAGTGCTAGGTTTTTTATCCATGGAAATTAAGTGTAGTGTATTTTTGCTAAATGTATTAGATCTGCTAGATGGAAAATATCTAATCAGTTGTATTTGACAGTATATGAGTTTTAAAAAAATCAATTTTGCTCATACTTGAGGGCCATTGACATACTGTACTGACTAATGTCTAGAATACAATTTCCACCCAAAAAATGTAATCATCAATTGCAAATGCTTTCCATCGTCACTGCTCATTACATTAAACTTTCTCTCTTTCTCTCTCATTCCTTATTCCTATAGGCTGAGAATGTAATGCTCCTGGAGCTAGATATGAGCCCACCCACCATGTACAACCTCAACCTTAACGGAGCACACCTGGAGCAGGCCTTTGGAGGTCCCGGTAGCCCCAGGAGAGACCTGCTAGTCAACGTCCCCTTCAGGGACAGGACCACTGCATCAGGAAGGGTCCGAAAGTCACGATCCTGGTGAGTTACAGTACCTGTAATAACCTGGTGAGTTTAACCTGCATGATGAGTTTAACCTGCAGAGGCGGACTCTCTTAGAGTTGCTACATTAACTATTATCTGATTAGTCTTTCCTACTTTACTAATAATTGGCAGCATTTAGAGAAATGAATATCATAATTTTATATGCATTAGTATTGCTGTTAGGCCTACTCTTGAGACAGCAGTTTTGGGATAGTCTTTGTTGCAGCTAAAAATCCATATGAAAGGATCCATATAAGAAGATACTCAAGTTGCCAGCTAAATAGGTCATACGTATACCCTCTTCTTCATTCCCAGGTACCAGGCACCACGTTCATCCTCTTCATGCGTCTCATCCTCTTCATCATCCAGCTCTATAACACAAGGACCCCAGATCCAGTGCTCTCCTCACCCCCAGAGACCCTCCTCATCCATCTATACTCCATTGGAAGGTGCCATTCCAGGGAGCCCCTGATTATAGAACATTCCAATGTATATCATATATGCCTATTTGCTGTGTTACATTATGCAATCAACAATTTCAAAGTATATTATTTCACCAAATACAATTTGTCTGTAACCAAAAGTTTTGCATAATACTTTGTGGAAAATATAGTAAAGCTGAGCTTTTCATTATTTTATATTTTTTCTGCTATCATTATAGCTTATGCTGATGATGACTAACGTAATGTTTAGCTTTTTATGTATTGAAACATCAGAATAAATGGTACAAACTGTTAAATAACATGTATGAACCTACATTTTTTAGGGAAAAGGGAAAATACCTGTCTTTCAAGTCAAATGAACTGCCATTGACAAAAAATAGGGAGAAGAAGAAAAAATCACCAGCCTTAAGGTTTTTATTAATTTTACTAATTTTAGAGGATTTACTCGCTAGGCTAATATTCTATTCTATTCTAGCCTAAACACCGCCATCTCCCCAAAATAGTCACATGTTCTGACAGTAACAACAGTCATGGTATTATTTTATTAGCTATGTATTTTTTTTATAACAAAGTAAAACAAATGTGTTTCAATACTCCAGTGTTTGCCAGTGACAGCTGTCATTTGTACAGTAAGATTACGTCTCTCTCAATGTCACATGACACACTCCTTACAGTAAAGCAGTAAAAGCCCAATATGGCAGAAGCAGCGGGTCTTGCGCGGTAACTAAAGCAACATTTCAACACACTGTCAAATTCAACACTAATCAGCGCAAGACCGCAGCGATGAGGGAGAGACAGAAGAAAAAGAAGGGGAGGACATGGGCAGAGGCTGCTAAAACGGTATTTACTGTCGTTCTGTTCAACGTTTGTTGTGCTTGTTTTCCCTTCGCTCCCACTTGTACAACTGTTTATGAGTTCATGACCCGCTGGTGTAGACGAAATGTTGCGTATGCAACGCAAGGCCTGCTTTTCGGCTAGCTAAGCACTGGAAGTCCATCAAGATTGTCTTGACAGTCTTGTGGATTCATTTACAGCAAATAACTATATCAATGTCTCCATGTAGTTTGCTTTAGTTGCTGAAGTTGTAGATGGGAAATTTACAGAATTATTGTTTGGACCGCAGACGTGGAGCATTACATGTCTGTGTTTCGCTGTAAAGTAAACACCGAAGTGTTGCGCGAGCGTAGCTAGCCAGTTAGCAAACTATGCTAGCTCTAAAATTCAGTTTGACAGCTTGTTCTGAACTAATAAAATACATTGAAACATAGCCGTTGTCAAGTGTCTAGTTCTCCAGCCTAGCTCTAATCGCCCTATGTCGATGGACATAAGCTATAACGCTAGCTAATGACCAATGAACGACAGCTAACATGGTAGTAGTAGCCAGCTTGCTAACTAGCTAGCTAACTACTTATAGCTAACTAGTAGCTACATCAGTAGTGTTTATAAACTATTTATAAAGTTGCTTTAGCTACCTGGTCACTGTATTGGCCATTCAGTAATATTAAAATGCTTAGCGACCTATAGCTACATGTATTAGCAAATCATTACTGTTACTAGTTTTGATTAGCTACATTGTGTAAACAAGACACACTAACATAGCTAGCTAGCTAACAGTAGTTAGTTGACAGCTGACAGTTCGCCTACTATTCATATGAAAACCTTTGTGACATCAAAGATTTTTATAACTAAACCAAGATAGACCACAGCCTGTTGTTTCCGATGGGAACAAATTAGTCATAGTGGGCAGAACAAGCAAGGAATCAGAGCTAAGCACGAGCTAGCGAGATCTTATTTGCCTGTTCTAGCAAGTATCTGCATATTTCCGTTAGGGAACGCCTACTCTGTGAAGTGCGCGTGTGCAATAACTCAATTCGCCTTTGCACTCCTAAAGAACGCGATTTTTTACAACTTTGGCAAAGGGTAAGGTCTACAAAACTTAGTCGACTCAGTTCAAAACAGATTCTAGTTTTGGGAACTGGAAACTGTATTGAGACTAAATCTTTCATCGATGAGATAATTTGAAAAATGTCGGCCAAAATCCATCTCCTTCCATCTGCTCCCACTGTTGGCCACTGGGTTTCCTCTCACTACCATATTTGGTAGTAAGTGGAAACGCCAAGCAGAAGCTTCACATTTTATACATTAGGTGAAATATCTGTCTCATTGTTCTATCTGTGGTGACATGTCATCATGGCTATAATTTTGGCTAGCTACATCAGCTATTATGGTGGTGATCTTGCTCAGACTTTCTCTTCTTACACGTACACAAAGGAAGTGAATCATGCTTTGGTGAGGCCATTGAGGTCTGTTTTATTCCCAGCAAGTAATATATTCTCTTGACAATGGGCAAAAGCATGCACTAAATCATTGGGCAGGAGTTGTTGACAGAACAGAGGTTGACTTCATGTGTAAACAAACCACACCACTAATGAATGTAATGTGCTAAAATCTCAGGGGCCGTATGCGTAGGAGTGCTGATCTAGTATCAGGTCCTCCCTGTCTATGTAATTTTATTCATTGTGATCTAAAAGGCAACACTAATCCTAAATCAGTACTCCTTCTCAAAGTCAGAGCTATGACATGACAGCACAGAACTATAGAACACCTCAGTAGAAGCTTGCTCAATTGCTACATGACATGCTAATTTCATACCACTAGGCCCTAATTTCATACCACTAGGCCCAACTATAGAATCGTGGGTTTATAATGTGTAGTAACACCATAAGCAATGTGAATACTAGTCTAGGACAGGTTGACGTATGTTATTATCTTTAGGCTAGAGGTTGTTTTACATACTCAAGTGGTTTTAGGTATGTATTACACATTATTACACTGCAATCCATTGACAGAGTTTGTGCTGTATTCTTTCAGGTATTAGAAAAGTACCCCAACACACCCATGAGCCACAAAGAGATCTTACAGGTGATCCAGAGGGAGAGACTGAAAGAGATTAGGTAAATGAACAGTCTCTCATATGTCTTCTGTGTGTTCTCAAAGAAAAGGTCCCTTTTTAGACCCTTTTTAAGGTTCCTTTAGGTGTCCTCTGTTAGTCCCCATCACAGTTTTGACTTCATTTTTGATACACAAGATCAGCACACTAGGCCTAGTTTTGTTTATGAATAGCAACGCATCATTTCTTCTTGTTTGATTGATTGCTAATGTCCTTTCCCTTTTTATTTTCTTCTTCTTGGTAATTATTACATTCACATCATTCTAATGATTTCCTTTCTTTCTTGTTTAATTTTTTCACTCTTGTCATCCAGAAGGTAAGACAAAGCTAGTTTTGCCCCTCCCTCCCTTAACAAACTGACTAAAATGTTGTTTGTTTTTCCTGTTGCATGTTATTAACAACTTGTACTTGTAACAACAAGTTACAACATGTGATTAACAACATGTTCTTCCATGTCAGGTATTGTTATTTCAGGCAGCACAGCCTAATAATTTCAGCTGAATCTGTTATACTCTGAATACAGTACACTGGCGCCTGATTCACACTATAGGGCCAAACCGGGCCAGGCTGAGCTGTACTGGGTTGGCCAGCTTGGCCTGGTTACACATCCACCATAGTTGCTGAAACTATGCTGGAAAGGACAATGTGAAAAGGAAATGTCAGAGCCAGCACAGTACAGTTAAAGTCGGCTCTGTAGTGGCCAGTCAGCTGTCTGCTTCATTAGGTGTAACTGGCTGTGCTTTCCTCTTCTCCTGTTATCTAGTGGTACTTCTCCGCTGGCCTGTCTCAATGCTATGCTCCACACCAACTCTCGCGGTGAAGAAGGAATGTTCTACAAAGTACCTGGACGAATGGGGGTCTACACACTGAAGGTCAGTTTCAAATTTCTATAAATCTAAAGCGTCAGAACCAATAAGTGCCGACATATCTCTATGTGAGATTGACATGCCATTTTTTTTACTAATAGTCAGCGCCACATTGTCAATAATTATGCTGTTAAAAGCATTTATGATGACACTGCTTCTCTTTGGAAGGAGAATGAAAAGTAGAGCAACGTTATGACTCACACAGCGAGCTTGTCAAACAATTGGAAATTCACATGAATCATTATTAATTGCTCTGAATGTTAGGAGTCATTCAAAGCAGTCCGTGTTATGGGGGTGTGTATATAATATCTTATTGTGGTGTGTATGTTATATAATATGTGTACACTGAGTGGACAAAACAGTAAGAACAACTTCCTAATATTGAGTTGCTCCCCCTTTTTCCCTCAGAACAGCCTCAACTCGTCGGGGCATGGACTCTACAATGTGTCGAAAGCTTTCCACAGGGATGCTGGCCCATGTTGACTCCAATGCTTCCCACAGTTGATTCAAGTTGGCTGGGTGTTCTTTGGGTGGTGGACCATTCTTGATACACACAGGAAACTGTTGAGCTTGAAAAACCCAGCAGCGTTGTAGTTCTTCACACAAACCGGTGCGCCTGGCACCTACAACCATACCCCGTTTAAAGGCACTTAAATATTTTGTCTTGCCCATTCACCCTCTGAATGGCACACATACACAATCTATGTCTCAAGGCTTTAAAATCCTTCTTTAACCTGTCTCCTCCCCTTCATCTACAATGATTTGAAGTGGATTTAACAAGTGACATCAATAAGGGATCATAGCTTTCACCTGGATTCACCTGGTCAGTCTGTGTCATGGAAAGAGCAGGTGTTCATTATGTTTTTGTGTATAATGTGCTGTATTTATATAATTTGTGTATAACGTATATGTATGTTGTGTGTCTGTGAGTAGAAGGACATTGGGGACGTGGTGAAGGAGCTGTCTGAGGAGGGGTCCGAGGAGGACGGTAGTGATAATCTGTCTGATTCCCAGGGAAGCACAGAGAACAACAACTACACTAACAACCAGGAGGGCATGAGGGGACAGTGGAGGAGGAGAGGTATGCTACTACTTCACAATATATTTATAACATCACTCTCTTTTTTGATTAGGAAATAGGGAGGAAGAGAGGTGGGATACTGTATATTTCACAATATATTTATTAGCTTCACCTTTTTCCATGATTAGGCTATATTATTGCAGTACTTGAAATTGACTGAAATACAGTGCATTCGGAAAGTATTCAGACCCCTTGACTTTTTCCACATTTTGTTACGTTACAGCGTTATTCAAAAATTGATTAAATTGTTTTTTTCCTTCATCAATCTACACACAATTCCCCATAATGACAAAGCAAAAACCGTTATAGAATTTTTTTTTGGTGCTAATTTATTACAAATAAAAACTGGAAATATCAAATTTACATAAGTATTCATACCCTTTACTCAGTACTTTGTTGAAGCACCTTTGGCAGCGATTACAGCCTCAAGTCTTCTTGGGTATGACACTACAAGCTTGGCACACCTGTATTTGGGGAGTTTCTCCCATTCTTCTCTGCTCTGTCAGGTTGGATGGGGAGTGTCGCTGCACAGCCATTTTCAGGTCCCTCCAGAGATGTTAGATCCGGGCTCTGGCTGGGCCACTCAAGGACATTCAGAGACTTGTCCCGAAGCCACTCCTGCGTTGTCTTGGCTGGGTGCTTAGGGTCGTTGTCCTGTTGGATGGTGAACCTTCACCCCAGTCTGAGGTCCTGAGTGCTCTGGAGCAGGTTTTCATCAAGGGTCTCTCTGTACTTCGCTCCGTTCATCTTTCCCTCGATCCTGACTAGTCTCCCAGTTCCTGCTGCTGAAAAACCTCCCCACAACATGATGCTGCCACCACCAGGCTTCACCGTAGGGATGGTGCCAGGTTTCCTCCAGACGTGACACTTGGCATTCAGGCCAAAGAGTTCAATATTGGTTTCATCAGACCAGAGAATCTTGTTTCTCATGGTCTGAGAGTCCTTTAGGTGCCTTTTGGCAAACTCCAAGCAGGCTGTCATGTGCCTTTTACTGAGGAGCAAAGGGTCTGAATACTTAAATAAGGTATTTCTGTTTTTAATTTGTAATACATTTGCAAAAAATTCTAAAAAACAGTTTTTGCTTTGTCATTATGGGGTATTGTGCATATATTGAAGAGTAAAAATAATAATTTAATCCATTCTAGAATAAGCCTGTAACGTAACAAAATGTGGAAAAAGTCAAGGGGTCTGAATACTTTCCAAATGCCCTGTAGGTGCTGATGCTCATTTGGGTGCCGACCATGACTCTTTATATTTAGGTGCCGCTCCCACTCATGCACTGCGTTATTGTGGTGTTTCCATTTTCACTATTGAGTATGCAGCTGTACATCTTGTGATAAATACTATACAGCAGACTGTTGCCCATCTTAGTAACACTTTAGAAGGAGATTACGTTTAGGCCATTTCTGTCATTATTTCTCTTTGTCCCTTAAACATTTTAAGCAACGGTTATAACAGGAAATTCTTTTTTTTTTTTTTGAGTCGGATCTGTGACCACTTCCTCATATACACATATGAACGAGTTAAGGAGCCGTTGAAGTAAAGTAACAGCGTATCGTCTGAGCACGGGGATATCATATTTTCTTTTTTGTTTTCAATTTTTATTGTTCTTAATATCAATGCAAAAAAGCTCCATCAAAGCAAATGCTATCAAAAGAACCAAAAACACAGTCAAGGGATAACAGCTACGGTGAGTGAGAAATGAAGATACAAGCCTTGTAAAAAAAAAACAGGAAATAACCATTACAAAAGTTGTTTTAAATAATCTTGCTACTAACAGTTTTTTTGGCGGTTGGAAAGTCAAAGATTCTTCGATTTTCAAAAATGCAATGCACATCCAGTCCTACTTTTTGTGAATGTTTTCAGCAATCTTTTAGATGCAACAGATTTGTATGAGTGCAAAACAAAACATATCTACTTTGGTATATCCATCTTAAAAATGAACTGAAACACTCATATCAGCATACAACTTGTGTATTTATGTTAATGTTATCAGTGTTTTGGATGTGAACATTGGGGATTGTTGTTGTTGTTAAGCATAATAATGTGTTATTGACTGTGTGTCTAAGTTGTGCTGTGTTCTGTTTCCTTCCCAGGGCCCTCCAAGCTGCCGTCTGATCCGTCGTCTCCTCAGCCACGTTGTTCATCTCCCTCTGTCCCCAGTAGCAAGCTCATCTCTCCCTCACAGAAACACAGCAAGAAGGCCCTCAAACAGGTAGGCTACTGGGCTAATTCTCCATCGGTCTTGTTTTCACTGGTTAATAGAGACCAGTTCTCTCTTTTCTCAACAAGACTAACCTGGGTAAGTAAATGTTAAATAAAGTACTGCTGCTGACCTGGTGCCTCATGACATTCCTGACAGTGTCTCTGTGATGCGCCCTCAGTGTTTTCCACAAGTACCTGGAGTAGCCAGACAAATAGAAAAATTTGCTATGCAGGCCTCCCCCAACATTATTATTTTTTTGCAGAATTACCTATATTTTGGTGGCCTCTGGTACATTCTAATGCCTTGATTCCATCTGAAATACACAGCTACATTATTGAATTCTTTATCAAATTTACCTCCCAGATTGGAAAAATGAGTTGTGGTATTGGACATGACTTTACAATTTACATTACTGAGAATGTATGAATTCAGTGTATTATTAGTTGTTTGGGATATTGTCTAGGCCTAGGCCGCTTTGATCAGCACTATCTCCTAAGTAAAATAACATTAAACCTTTTTTAACATTTAAGCTGTCTTCTCTTGAGATCAAAGTTTTTTTTTACAGTTTTACTGCATGATCTGAATTGCCACAATAATGTTTGTTCTTTAAATTATGTATTTTCTTTAAACAGAAAAATGGTCCACTGCACACATTATCTTGAAAAATAAATAAAAAATGGCTGATATATGAAACACCCAAAAGAAAATAAATGAATGTGCCAGAAGCAATAATATTTGACTCATCGTTACCACTATACGCTACATTACATGAGAAGTAGAAATTCAGGGCTCAACGCTGAATTGTTTTACAAGGAGCACATTTAGGAGCACATTTAGGAGCACACAAAGAAATGTAGGAGCAGAATGAAAGTATTTGGGGAAGCTTGTTTAAAAAAATTAATTTGTATTTATTGGTTTTAGATCACAACAAAATATATGGAAGGTATAATCAACGAGGGGCTATGCGTTCTATGGAAAGTAATGAATGAGGTGGAAAGTGTGTTCCACGACGCCCTAGCGTACACATATTATTAGAGAATAATTAACCTAAACAGGCCAACATTTAGCATTCCGTAAGGCAATAGAATTATTAAGTCATTGTTGACTCTAAGAAAAATAATAATACAAATAATAAATACAATTAAACATTAAAAGCAAGGTATCATTTGTTTGGCGTTGGCTTGGGCAGTGGACATCTTTCTGAAGTGTTATTGTTTTCATTTATGTGGTTGTTTTTTGTTGGTTAAATCTCATATTGGGGTTGGCATCCTGTCTTTCCTATCTGCATTGCGTTTTCACCGTCTTTGCGTGCATGACACACACATGCACAGACACGCACACTCTCCCTCTCTCCTTCTCTCCCACACACACACACAGACACGCACCCACTCATGCATACACACGCTTGCACTTCTACACTCACATACATGCACCCATTCACACACACACGTGACCACCCACACATTTTAAAAACATGTACTTTTTATCTCCTGTTAGGGCCTTTAAATATTTCATAATATAATGTCTGTAAAAAATTATAATAATTGTGTCTAAAATAGTCATTTGGTTTCTTATTATATGAGTTATAATTTCCATAGTATAGATTTCATTAATTGTTTCTTTGCAATTGCTTATTTGTGGTGCCAGCAGTTAAGGATCGGACCCTTTTTTTCAATTTTCGCCTAAAATGACATACCCAAATCTAATCTAATCTAACTG